CGTGCCGAGCTCAGTCTCTCTCTCTCTCTCTCTCTCTCTCTCTCTCTCTCTCTCTCACGTGCCGAGCTCAGTTGGTTCACCCACGCTTAGAGAGAGAGAGAGAGAGAGAGAGAGAGAGAGAGAGAGAGAGAGAGAGAGAGCACTTCCGCAGGCCCGTTTGCACGCACCTCGAATCTGGTCTGTCTGCAATTTGATCTTTAAGGACATATTCACACTAGGACTTCGTCTACAGAGCTCTGGACGTGATTGTAGTCGGATTCCTCCAGGTCTGGCCGTGATTGAGGTCAGATGCATTTCGGAAAGTGCTCGTGTGAGTATGCTCTAACAGTGGCGAGTTCTGGTTACTCTACCTGAGCTCGTTCTTCCTTCTCACGATTTCTTCTCTGTTGTACTCTTCCACTGCGCAGACAAATCCCGCAATCTGCTGACTGCATGCCCGCCTCTGCAATGACTGTGACAGACATGGCTCTGCCTGGCGCGTGACCTCTCAAAGCCACAGCCGTCGCAGTGAGGATCCCGTTCCCGTCCACGCGGAATGTCACCTCCACCTTTACGTGTCCCCTCGGCGCGGGTTCGAGCCCCGACACGCTGAAAGATGCCAGGTAAACGTTCTCCACGAAGAAATCGCCCTCTCCCTGATAGACCGGAAGTAGCAGACTGGTCTGGTTGTCGCGACTCGCGACAAGCGTGCACTTCCCGATGGCCGGCCTCTTGCTATTCTTCTTAATTAGCCCGCGCATGCTACCATTGTTCAGATGTAAGCAAATGTTGAACGGCACGACATCGGTACCAACAACCTCCCCCTGGACCTCGTCACATTTATAAGCCTCCTCCTCCTGCTCATCACACTTATAAACCTCCTCCTCATCACACTTATACGACTCCTCCGGCTTATCAGATTTAAACGACTCCTGCACCTCTGCGATCCTCAACGACGCCTGGATTGCAGCACCTCTGGCGACGGCTTCGTCCGGGTGTAGCCACATCAAGGGCTTCTTGCCCATGAAATTCTCCACCATCCGTTGCACATAGGGAATCCTGGACGATCCGCCGACAAGCACAACCTCCGTGACTGCTTGCTTCTTCAGCTTCGCGCCGCTGAGAACCCTCTCAATGCACTCGATGCACTTGTTGAAGAGATCCATGTTCAACTCCTCGAACATGGCGCGGGTTATCGTCAACTCGAAATCGTCGTCGCCATCTTCGATCATGATGTTGGTCGAATGCATCTGGGAGAGGTCGATCTTCGCTTGAATGCAAGCTTCCCGGATTTTTCGCCGCAGTTTGACGCTCGAACGTGGGTTCGATCCCGGCATCTGCCGGTCGAATTTGTCGCTCACGTAGTCGATCAGTCTGCCGTCGAAATCCGCCCCGCCCAATTGTGCATCTCCCCCGACGGCCATTACATCGAAAGCGAAGTCTTCGATCCTCAGTATCGAGACATCAAAAGTGTTTCGACCTAGATCGCACACCAACACTGTCCTCTTTCCCGCCCTGAACTTCTCCTGAAACGCAAACGCAAGAGCGACGGCCGCAGGTTCGAGCATCAGCTCCAGCACATTCAACCTGGCCATAGCCGCCGCGTCCTTAGTCGCCTGCCTCTGTGCGTCGTTGAAGTAGACCGGCACCGTAACTACCGCGTCCTTAACGATGGGCCTTCTATCTCCGTCCTCTGTAGCGAAAAACTTATGCGCGACTTCTTTCATGTGAGTCAATAAGTGCGCCGAGATCTCCTCCGGGGTGAAGTCCTTCTGCAGGCTGTTCGCCCGTAACAATACTCCTCCATTTGGACCCTCTTTAAGCTTGAACGGCCACCCACGAGCTCCCATCCTTACCTCACGGTCACTGAACTTTCGACCAATCAACCTCCTGACCTCGAAGAAACAGTTTTCTGGATTCTTTTCATAAGACGACTGCGCCGCCTCTCCTACCAACACCTTCGTCTCACTAAACGCCACGTATGACGGAGTAATCCGCCTTCCCACAAGGTTGGGTACGATCTGCACATCGCCGTTGCGCATTGCTCCTACACAACAGAAGGAGGTTCCCAGATCTATACCTACGGGAATGCTCTCCCTCGGGAGCTCAGCACGACGCTTATAGGACTCCCACACCTTTGCGATCCTCAACGATGCCTGGATGGTGGCGCCACGGGCGACGGCCTCGTCGGCGTGTACACACATGAAGGGCTTGAGCCCCATGAATATCTCCAGAAGATCTTGCACGTACGGAATCCTCGACGAGCCGCCGACCAGCACAACGTCCGTGACTTGTTCCTTGGTCAGCTGCGCATCGATGAGCGCCCTCTCAACGCATTCGATGCACTTATGGAAGAGATCCACGTTCAGCTCCTCGAACTTGGGGCGGGTTATATTCAACTCGAAATCGTCGTTGCCATTTTGGATTAGGATACTGGTCGAATGCATCTGGGAGAGGTCGATCTTCGCTTGAATGCAAGCTTCTCGGATATTGCGCCGCAGTTTGACGGTCGAACGTGGGTTCGATCCCGGCACCTGCCGCTCGAATTCGTCGCTCACGTAGTCGATCAGTCTGCGGTCGAAGTCAGTCCCGCCCAGATTGGCGTCTCCCCCCACGGCTATCACCCTGAAATCGAAGTCTTCGACCGTCATTACCGAGACGTCAAAAGTCGTTCCACCCAAATCGCACACCAACACTGTCCTCTTTCCCAACCTGAACACCTTCTCGTGAGCAAACACAAGAGCGGCGGCCGTAGGCTCGTTCATCAGCTCCAGCACATTCAACCCGGCGATGCTCGCCGCGTCCTTCGTCGCCTGCCTCTGCGCGTCGTTGAAGTAGGCCGGCACCGTAATCACAGCGTCCTTAATGATGGGCGTTTCGTCTTCGGTAGTGAGGAACTTCTCGGCGATTTCTTTCATGTACGCCAACAAGTGCGCAGAGATCTCCTCGGGGGTGAACTCCTTCTGCACACTGTCCGCCCATAATACTACCCCTCCGTTTTGACCCTCTTTGACTTCGAATGGCCACCGCTGAGCGTCCCTCGTAACCCCTCTGTCCGTGAACTTTCGACCAATCAACCGCCTCACTTGGAAGAAAGTGCTTTTTGGATTTTTGAAATACTGCCACCTCGCTGCCTCTCCCAACCACCTGTTCTCCTTAGAGAATCCCACGTATGACGGAGTGACCCGCTTTCCCTCAAGGTCGGGTATGATCTCCACTTTGCCATTGCACATTGCTCCTACACAACAGAAAGAGGTTCCTAAATCAATACCTATGGGAATGCTCTTTCTTTCTCGACCCGCCATCCTAGGGCTGCTCCCTGCTGGGCTGGGATCTCTCTCTCTCTCTCTCTCTCTCTCTCTCTCTCTCTCTCTCTCTCTCTCTCTCTCTCTCTCTCCACGCCGTGTCCGTGACTGTGTCTGTCTGTATGTGTGATGGTCAGCCTGGCTTTCTATATAATGATATCGCTCTCTTTGATGTCTGTCTAAATGCCTCTGCGAAGTATTCGACGGTTCGCAAGGCTATGAAAACAGTGCGGGAGACCATGTGAAATCACAGGCAAAAGGGGCCAGGCCCTTGAGATCGATTCAACGCCGCTGCTGTCCTCCAACAATCTGATCGCGAGTTTAAAGCTGAGAAGTTGAGAACGTATGAATGCCAACTTCATACGCTGCTAACACAGCCCACTTGCACTCTACACTACGCAAAGTTTCTAGAGGTGAGAGAGAATGTTGACCATTCGACGTAGGAGCGAGTCCCGCTCTCAAATAATGTGAACATTGTGATGCGATTGGAGTTCCAAACTCAAACTCAAGCCTCGATGACAATCGGACCTGTTGTTGAGAACCCACAAAGGAGTCACTGATCTGTACGGAATCACTGATCTGTACGGAATTACTGATCTGTACGGAATCACTGATCTGTACGGAGTCACTGTACGGAGTCACTGATCTGTGAGGATGGCAAACACGATACAGATACAACACCAGGTCAATTTTGTAAGAACGATAAGTACCGCACCTCTAGCAAGGGGGTACTCAGACGAGCACTATCATACATGCATTTTACTGCATTCACGCCCCGATCTGTATGCATCTGGCCCAATTTCCATCCAGAAACAAGTAAAAGAGTGCTACCTAGTGTGAGTATGCCCTGAGTGAAGAACAGTTTCCATTCCTTCTACCCGCCTTGTTTCCTTTTTCTTCTCTCCCTCGTTTCTGTTCCAACGAAACGAGTATTTTCTTTTTATTTTTAGCCGGCATTCTGCCATGTCATGGAACACATCTCTCTTTCACTACCTACCTACCACTTCTCCTAAGGCTATCCTGGGGACCCCTTGCAGAACGCCAGTTAAAAATATGTGAGGGGAGACTAAAATATATGGCTTTCCCCGATGAGGAGAAGGCAGCGGATGTGGCTTCTACGGGGTTCCGCGTAATACTATAATGACAATAAAAAAGGCCTGAAAGACCGTCCTGTCCAGATTTGACAGGTAATTGAATTGGTTGGGCTTAAAAGAATTAGCCTTTATTTTATTTTATTTTCATATATATCGTCACAAACAGAACTGCCCGGTAAAACCGTAGGCAGAGAGAGAGAAGAGGACAACAAACGAGGGGCTGTGACAAACTGTTTCGTCGGAGTTTCACCGACTCATCAGGAGATAGATATATATATATATATATTTGTGACGATATATATATATATCATATATATCGTCACAAACAGATATATATATTGTCACATGATATCAGAGCGCCTAAGCGAAAAAAACAAAAAAACAAAAAAATCTTAAACTCGTTTTTAATCTTCTTCCTTACAACTCCCCCTGTTCAGAACCTCTTGCGTACAAGGCCGCCCACGTGGATGTAGGTTGAGCGGCGGCTGCCCCCACCCCCGTGTGTCATATCGACCCACTTGCACACAGCCAAAAGGCAAAGAGGCAAAGAAGAGAGGAAGGGAACAGCCAAATGAAACAAATAGAACAGGGGGAAACAAAACAGATCCCAGATGACAAGTCCCACATGCAAGCACCGCCCGCTCCGTCAAAGGCCAAACAACGGGACAAGACCACCCAGGACAAGACAT